AAATAAATAAAAATCTTTTTTAAAAAAAATCACAAGAGATATCAGTATAATTGGCAGAGGTAAGTAACTCCAAAGTCCATCGCTCCATAAAAGCAATGAAAAAATTGGCAAAACTGTCACCATCAACTTTCTTAAATTCGATAAATTAAAGTTTGCAGCAACCAAGGGAGCATTTCATCAAGAAAAAAATGGAAAATTCAGTAAGAATAGTGAGCTCTGTAGTATTTTAACTTACTCTAGTCCCAACCCCCTGCTCTCCAGCTCAATGGTGGCCTTGAATATAAGTAAGGCCTTGCGTTTCCAGCACCAGGACCAGAGGGAGCAGAGCAGGTCTCATTCGCAAAGACCTGTAATTACTTGTTGTGACCCGTCTGGTGGTCCCTGGAAGACTGGCTCAAAATATCTTGTCTGAGAACTCAACCAGTGCTAACAGGGCCGTATCAAAAACACTTATAGGCAAAGGTTTTAGTCACTGCTGCCTGAAGCAATGGATAAGAGTTGGACCAAACAGCAGACTAACCAAAAGCTTAGGAGGAAAGGCTTTAGGGAATAAGGGCTCTGAAGAGCTCTGACACATTCCTGGGAATCTAAAAGACCACATACATGCTGGGCACATGTTCAGAAAAGACCTGAAAAGTTCCTACCTCTGGCTGATCTGGAGGCTCTGCAGAAGCAGGAAGTTAGGGCTAAGGCAAAGACGTAAGCTGCCTGGCTGAGCATGGAAGGTGCACCCAAACACACATTCCGACGCCTCTGCAAAAACTGGGCCATGTTTTCAGTCCTGGGCATTTAAGGAAATCTCTGTGCCATGGTTAGTTGACCATTAAGCTAACAGCATGAAGACTTCAGAGGACACAGGACACAGGACAACCACAGACTTTAAAAAATTGTTTCAGAATTTTTAATTTAAAATTATTTTTTAATTAGATCAGAAAAGTCACTAAACAAATGATAAAATCAAAAAGCGAAAGAATGAGAAAAGAAATTGCATGCAAACTGAGACAAAAAGAGAGTCGTGGTGGCTACACAAACATCAGAAAAAACCTACTTGAAATGAAATTGTTATAAGAGAGAAAGGACACCATATAATGATAAAATCGTCAATCCATCAAGAAGATGTAACAAGTATATATAAACCTAGGGGCACCTGAGTGGCTCAGATGGTTAAGCGTCTGCCTTCGGCTCAGGTCATGATCCCAGGGTCCTGGGATCGAGCCCCACATCGGGCTCCTGGCTCAGCGAGGAGCCTGCTTCTCCCTCTGCCTCTCTTTCTGCTCCTGCTCATGCTCTCTCTCTCTCTGTATCTCTGTGTCTCAAATGAATAAATAAAATCTTTAAAAAAAACCAAAAAAGTATATATAAACCTAACGACAGAGCCCCAATATACATGAAGCATAAACTGACAGAACTGAAAGGTAGAAACAGAAGATTCAACATTAATAGTTGAGAGATTTCAATACCCTACCTTTAGTAATAGATATAAAACCTAGACAGAGATTCAAAGGAAACAGGAAATTTGAACAATATAAACCAAATAGACCTAACATAACTATAGAACACTCCAGCCAACAAGAACAAAATACTCATGCTTCTCCAGTGCACCTGAAACATTCTCCAGAAAAGACCATATGTTGGGCCACAAAACAAGTCTCAATAAATTTTAATAGATTAAAATTATACAAAGTATATTCTCCAACCACAATAGAATGAAATCAGAAATCAAAAACACAAGGAAATTTGAAAAACTCACCCTGGATACACTTGCTTTTCTCTAATTTACCAAGTAAGTGCCTTAAACATTATACTAGAGTTCTGGCCAGGGCAATTAGGCAAGAAAAAGAAATAAAACGCAGTCAGATTAGAAAGGAAGAAGAAAGATATATTTGCAGGTGACATTTTATATAAAAAAAATCCCAAGGTATCCACAAAAAAATCTATTAGAGCTAATTAACAGTTCAGCAAATTTGCAGATATATAATATATAACTGTATTTCTACACACTAGTAATGAACAATCCAAAAATGAAATTAAGAAAACAATTCTGTCTACAACAGCAGGAAAAAGAATAAAATACTTCAGGATAGATTTAACAAAGGAAGTGTGAGACTTATACTTGGAAAATTACAAAATGCTGTTAAAGAAAAATTTTAAAGGACCTAAATAAATGTAAAGATATCCCACGTTCAAGTACCAGAAGGCTTAATATTGTTAAGATGACAATAGTGCTCAACTTAATCTAGATTTAAAGCAATCTCTTTTAAAATCCCAGATGTTTTGTTTGTTTGTTTGTTTTGCAGAAATTGACAAACTGATCCTAATTTCATGTGGAAATTCAAGGGACCCAGAATAGCCAAAACAATCTTGAAAAAGAACAAAGTACAAAACTCATACTTCCAAATACAAAACTCACTACAAAGATAGAGTATACAAGACAGTGTGGTAGAGCATGAGGACATAGACAATAATGAAGAGAACTGAAAGCCTACAAGTAATCCCATACATCTATGGTCAATTGATTTTTGACAAGGTTGCCAAGACCACTCAATGGACAAAGAATTCTTTTCAACAACTGGTGCTGAGAAAACTAGATAATCAACATGCAAAATAATGAATTTGACACCACCTCATATAATACACAAAAATTAACTCAATATGGATCAAAGAACTCAATGTAAAAACTAAAACTATGAAACTGAGGAAGGCAGACATACATCTCCAAGAATTTGGATTAAGCAACAGTTTTTCAGGTATGACATCAAAAGCACAGTAACAAGAACAGCAACAATGACAAAAAACAGATAAATTGGGACTTTTTCCAAATTAAAAACTTTTGTGCGTCAATGGATACTATTAAGAAGGTGAAAAGACAACCCACCGAAGGAGAAAATACAGCAAATCGTATGTGTGATAACAATCTAGTACCCAGACTGTATTTAAAACCTCTTACAGCTCCACAACAAAAAGGCAACCAACCATTTTTTCAAATGGGCAAAGGATTTGAATGGACATTCCTCCAAAGAAGATACACAAATGGCCGATAACCACATGAAGCGATGCTCAACATCTTCAGTCATTAGAGAAATGCATATCAAAACCACAAAGAGATACCACTATACGCCCACTAAATGACTATCATTAAAAAAAAAAAAAAGGGAGATAATGGAACCCTCACACATCACTATTGTAAAATGGTGCAAGGCACTGTGGCAAACAGCTTGGCAGCTCTTCAAAAAGTCAAACATAGAGTTACCAGATGACCCAGGAATTCCAGGTACATAATTAAACAAGAGAACAAAAAATATGCTTTCACACAAAAACTTGTTCAGCAGTATTCATAAGAGCAAAATAACGGAAACAACTCAAATACCCATCAATCGAGGAAGAGATAAACAAATTGTGGTATATCCATACAGTGGAATATTACTCAGCCATAAAAAGGAACGAAGTACTGACATGTGCTACAAAGTGCACGAGCTTCAAAAATATTGCTAAAGAAGCCAGACTCAAAAGGCCACATTTTGTATGATTCCTGTTATATGAAATGTCTCCATAGAGACAGAAAAGTAGATTATTAGTTGCTAGGGACTGGAGGCAGGGAGGATTAGGGAGCAACTACTTAACAGTCATGGGGTTTCTCTCAGGGCGACAACACACTCTGGAATTAGAGAGCGGCAATGGCTACACGATATTTTATATAAATTAAAATCCACTAAACAGTACTTTAAAATGGTGGAAGTGGTGAAGTTTTTGTTACATGAATTTTATCAGAAATAAATACATAGGTAAATATAGAAAACATCACTTAACTGAAAATTATATTACTGCTTAGCTGTTAAGCCCTTCATTATAACTTGAAATAATGTCAGATAAGTGTCAAATCTTTAAAAGTATGGTTCTAAATTTCTAGATCCCCACAATACATATATACAGATACCAATTCATCTTATGCTTACAATTTATATTAGGAGCCCCAGATGACAATTAAGTTGTTTTCATGACAGTTATTAAACGAGATGAGCCAAACAATGTCTACTGGAACAACCTGAACAAATTACCTCCAAAACTCTACAAATAAGATATAGAACCATCCCTATGAAACTTGACTTTTTAATCAGCACTGCAAAACACGAGAATTATTTTTAAAGCCTTTAGAAATCAACGAGGAACTGCCAAAATGAAGCTAATGTCAAAAAGGTATCTTTCATGTATCAAATTGTAAATGTTTATCCTGTTTTAATAAGAAGACATCTGAGATTGATAATGACCACAACCAACTTTCTACATAATCATCTTTAACCACTGCAAACTTAAGGGGACCAGCTAGACAACATGTTTATAGTCTACACCAATGGTACCATTTTGGAAGTTTTATAACTTGGAATTACTAAGATTTTCATTTCAGCGAAGATCCATAGAGATGCTCTTTAGAAATACCTAAGTATTTTAAGATAAAAATCCACCTTAAAATTTACCTTAAAATGCCCAGTTGAGCAGAGTCAATTCCACATTAAGTACACTGCCCATTCTGACACTCAGGAATCAGTACTGCTGCGTATCAACAGCCCCAGGCTAAGAAAGCACGGCACTAGGAATTCACCACTGGCTGAGAAAGCCAACATCTACGGAAAGCTTAATTAACACATTTATAACTGACAAATGTAACTTAAGTAAAAAGACAAATCACTAGAAACCATTTGCCCGGATTAGACAGAACAAAAAGCTGCTTGAAGGAGAGCCTCCTCAGATCAGTCAGATGTTAAATGTTCTAAAACAGCAATAAAAGACTCTAAGGGACATGTTTCAACAATAATGACCATTCTACAAAGCCTGAAATACCACAATAAGAGGGGAAATTAAAATAAATTCCAAGAAAAGATTATCTTTAAAAAACTATTAAATTCAGTAAGATCTGTCCACTGTTCTCATCAAATCAATAAATACTACTACTTTTCACAAAAATTTAATCCCAAAAGGAAAAAAATGAAAAGAAAGACATTTACCTCTTCTAAGCTAGGGAGCGAAGAAGAAGATACTGTTCGAGATGACAATGGGTGAAATGGCTCTTGACCAATAGCATGTTGATGATTCTGTATTTGTACAAAAGGGTTCTGCGGTGGCCTGTGAGGCAATGGAGGTAGGCCATAGGGAAAACCCGGCCCCATTAGGTGATTCTGTTGTAAGTTAGCAAAAGTCCATGCTCCATCAGGTGCCAGGTATTTCAAGGGAGGAGGGGCAAGGTGTTCAGATGGCAACGAAAAAGGCGAGCTGAATATCTGGGGCGGTAGGCGCTGTGGAAATGCTGGGTTGTTGGCTACTTCAATGTCTCTGCTGTTGTCATTAAAGTTAGAAAAGTGGCTACTGTGGTCTGTGCTGGATGGGGGAGATGGGACTGCTGGTGGGCTCCTAGTCTGAATTTGTCTATATTGCAAAAGTCTTGATTGAGGTGGTGGCATTTCAGCTAGTTCCCGTGTTTCACTTTGATCACGATTAGATAGTTCTCTGATTAAGTCTTGAAACCTACATAAAGACGATGAAATATGAGGAAAAGAAAACAAAAGAAAAGCTCCGTCACATCAAGGAGAGCTTTAGTCAACTACAAGTGTTAACTTTTACGGACAAAATCAGAATACTTCATTAAAACTAACATTAATTAATCTCAAAAGTGAGCATTAAGGGGCGCCTCGGTGGCTCATTTGGTTAGGCATCAGACTCTAGGTTCTGGCTAGGATCTCAGGGTCGAGAGATCGAGCCCCACGTTGGGCTCAGCGCTCAGCATCGAGTCTGCTTGTCCCTCTCCTGCTTCTCCCCCTGCTTGCACATGTGGGCTCTCTCTCTTTCAAATAAATTTTAAAAATCTTTCAGAAAAAAAAGTGAGCATCAACACTCAATACATGCTGAGTTGAAGACACTAAATATGCCCAAGTACCTGATTTCTTTCTTTTCCCTTGGCATTAAAAACTGTCCTTGACATATAGAGATATGTCTCTGATAAGTGGCTGTTATAAAAAGTCACCATCATGGTAGGTCTTGTTCAGGGGGATTAGGAAACACTTCATTGCATTCACATGACACTGGCCATAAAAACAAGTTTAGAATAAGGACTGAACACTCAAACATTTGTAGTTAAAAGAAGACAGAATTCTGTGCAGGTTGGAAAAAAAACTGATGATAAATTTCTAATTTTTAACTTTTAATCACTAATTTACTTCTGTGTCCATTCATTTCTTGTATTACTACTGAGTATGAAAAAAATGCTCACAGTGATGGTACACTTCTTTTTCAGGAGAGCCACAAAGCGAGGGGCCACATTAATATTCAATCCACAACAGATTGTCCATGCCCAGATTTGCACCAGTTACTTCTAAATGGATTCTCTGTATTTTAGAGTCCATCAAAAGAACTGTGTAGCATGTGCCTAGAAGGCCAGCATCCAATTTCTTTGGGACAATATTCCAACTTGAGGCTTAAAGGTCGACATCCAAGAAAGAAAACAGTGGGTGTGGGGAGGGGGTGTGGGTCATATTTCAAAGGCTATTTTTACTCTGTAGAAATACCTTGAGTCTGTTGTTTCTGCTTCATCTTCGGCACTGCTGGGGAGCTTCCAGTCTGTTCTCACTGGCGGCTGATGTAACCCCACGGGCGGCTGAGGAAGATGCTGGAGGTGAGGATGAGGATGGTGGTGGTGTGGGTACGGAATACTGCCCTGACTGAGATAGGCGTGATGCTCGTTCCACTGCTGTAACCGCACTTGCTGCTGCTGCCTTAGTGTTTCTAGAGCTACACCCCCGTGCATACGATCTGCAAAATATTTGGGAAGAGTTTAAATTTTCATGCATTTGGGGTTTCAGGTTAATTTGGGGTTTCAAGTTACTCAAGGGTTTTTGTAACCAGACTTTCTTCACAGAGACAAAGAAATGCCTACAGTTTGGGTTTCGGAGAAAGCAATATTTTCTAAATTTGCCAGTAACTAAAGTCATGATAAAGATGATGGTGATTCTTCCTTACCTACATAATCATGTAAACTGGCATGACCTGGATGCTTGATATCACTTGGCATTTGGAACAAGATTCTGACTGTTACACTAAGCAACTGATCTTTGCTGTCATTATTTGAAGAAATGAATCAATCTTGACCCAAATTAATATTGCACAGTACATGTCAATTTAAGGAAATAATCTCTGAATTTGTCACATCCAGCAGTGACAGGAGAACTTACCTAAAGCCTCCCCTATAGGCAATCCTGGGGGGTTCTCATCAGTGAAGTTATTCAGATGTGAAGGAAGGAGGGGGCCGGGCTGTGCGATGGCTCGCAGAGGACTGTGGCCTTCTTGCAGCATGGGAGGGGGATGCTGCTCAGGAATCACAGCCTCTGCAGGAGGGGACTGTGGTCGGTGAGAAACCGCACTATTAAAGAAAGCGCTGTTGGGTCCTGCCTGATAGGCAGGAGAAAGTTGAGGAGGTGGCTGCTGAGTCAGCTGGTTCAACGGATTCTGTGGCGGGACTACCTGATTTGGTTGGGGTGGCATCTGATTTGGTTGTTCAGGCAAATTACTCTGCTGCTGATTTAGCAAGGCAGCGTGCTGTTGCGGAATTGGAAACGGTGGTCTGGGTAGCTGGGGAAGGGGATGAAAATGACGACTGGGGATTGCATACTGTGCATGGGGAGAAGGGAGAGGAAGATTTATGTGTCTCGGGTTGAGATTATCTTTGCGATGAAATTTGGTATTGGGATAAACAACACCAGGACGCGACTCAGGACTTCTGTTCTGTGGATTTGATTCCAAATCAATCTAGAAAAAAATAAGAAGTCTTTCTTAACTATGGAAGATCTGGGTCCTGTGGCTCTCCACCTTTTCCCACCCCTAGCACATCTACAAGATAGGATAGATTCTTATCAGTCACAGCTGAGTGCTAGGTGCCCAGTCAATCACTTTCTGACAATCAAAGGAGGGAATAAATATGTTTTAAATTAGAAAAGAGGAAACAGAAAAAAGCATATTAAACTTGAGTCCTAAGAAGAGATAGTGCCCTCTTATTAACATACCCACTTTAATTCCTTTAAAAACATTATTTTTAATTTCACACTTTCTTCCTTGGAAAGATAACTATTTATTTCCTTCTGATATAAATCATTAAAATGTGTCCTTTCCTTCCAATTTTATTGTTTTTACACATCTCTTTCTTCAAATATATCTATATTCATTTTAAAAATACTTGTCTCAATTTAAACAACTTTGAAGTGAACAAACAAATAAGTACTTTATCACCTTTGTATAACCAATTTGGTTGTCAATTCTTGCCATTAGGTATTGACTTTTATTCTTTCAACAAACGTTTCCTGAGAGCCTACCAAGGGCACTGCACCTCGTGCTGGAGACTTAAAAAGGCAGTACAAAGGCTCAGTCCGTACCCTCAAGAGCTTATAGCGAGGGCTGAAACCATGATCCTCAGGCCATTTCCAGCCCACCGAATTTTTGCAGTTAAAGTTTTACTTAGAACACAGCCACCCCCGTTCACTGACACACTGTCTATGGCCTCTTTCTCACAGCAGTGGCAGAACCCAGTGACTGCTTGGAAACCATGTGGCCACAAAGCCTGAAGATGTACTATCTGGCCTCTCGCAGGAAAAGCTGGCAAAGCCCAGGCTTGGAGGCCAGAAGAGGGTACCAACAAGTAAACACAAAATTAGAGGTGTTAACAAAAGGAAGTGATAGGAGAGCCTAGTGCCTGAGACAATAAGAGATGGCTTCACAGAGGCTATGGCGTTTGAACTGAATCTTGCACAGGCAGCTGAAATTTACCAGTGTGGGAAAGACATTCCAGGAAAAGGTAAGAGCTTAACCAAGGGGGGGGAAGGAGAAAAATATGGCAGATTTGAGGAGCATGAGAAGCTTTGTGTACACACAGCTACAACGTCACTGGTTTAGGTGTTAGTTTTCCCCTTCCTGACATCAGATAAAACTGCAAGAGCCCAATTACACAAGACCCTGAATGATTAAATACTGAGAATAAACATTTTTAATCCTGTATGTAAACTGTGCTAAGCTACCAAAGATTTGTAAGCTAGAGAGTGCTGTCATCCTTCTGAAATCCAAATTTGATTGTAAGTGGTGACAGTGTGAAAACAGAAATATAACGAGGAAAGAAGCAATTTTTCTTTCCCATCTCTGTCAAAACACTCAATGAGCTGCTGTGGTATATCAATCTCCCTATAAGTTTCAATGTGGAAACAGTCACTGAGGACTTAGAGTACTTGCCTCACCAAAGGCTCTCAAGCTAAACATAGAACTGACCACTCTCCAGAACCCAGAACAAGCAGCTTGCTCCTGAACTGCAGCTGAGGTACTCCTGGCAACCAAGCTATCACAACGGCAGCGACGTGCCCATCATGCCTCCGGCGCATTTTCATCTCTCATCACTAAGTTCACATGGACTTGCCACTGAATTGGGCCAATAAGGTCCTTAAGATCACTGGGTGTATAGAAACTGCCTAGAAGATGAAATGAGAAGAATGACAATTTCAGGGGCGCCTGGGTGGCTCAGTCAGTTAAGCGTCTGCCTTCAGCTCAGGTCGTGATCCCAGGGTCCTGGGATCGAGCCCCGCATCGGGCTCCCTGCTCAGCGGGGAGTCAGCTTCTCCCTCTCCCTCTGCCTGCAGCTCCCCCTGCTTGTGCTCTGTCAAACAAATAAATAAAATCTTTAAAAAAAAGAATGACAATTTCATCCCAGTCTTCCCAAGGAGCTGCGAAGCCTGCTCTCTGACTGTCTGAGCCCATTACCCACAGTGGCATTATAAATATGGAGGGTCTTCAATAATGAGTTCATTAACCGTTTACAATGAGCCAAGATTTAAGCTTTATACATTAAATCATTAAACTTTATCTACAAAATTAAAAACAAAGTTTCAGAACCTACTTAAGGTTCTTTATAAACAAACATTGTCCCCCATAAATCTTCATCTTTTTGATGACTGATGCTACATTCAGCTGGGATATACATCTTTCCATAAGATGCTGTTGAAAAAGCATACTCAGATCATATGAGGGAGATCGTAATGATTACGTGTCAAGGTTGTTTATGGACAAGCTGCCTCCTTCACTTCTGACTTTGACATGGACAAGAAGCTAGGCCGGTCATAGAAACTTAATCAAGACTGTGCTACCTGGGTGGCTCAGTCAGTTAAGCGGCCAACTCTTGATTTTGGTCATGATCTCAGGTTCCTGGGAGCCAGACCCTCCTTAGGCTCCCCACTCAGCCAGGAGTCTGCTTGTCCCTCTCCCTCTGCCTCTCCCCCCACCTCTCTCTCTCTCAAATAAATAAATAAATAAATCTTAAAAAAGAAAAAAAAAGACTGTGCTACTCAGGGCGCCTGAATCACTCAGCTGGTTGGGCATGTGACTCTTGGTTTCGGCTCAGGCCATAATCTCAGGGTCATGGGATCAAGCCCCACGTCGGGCTTTGTACTCAGCACAGAGTCTGATTGTCCCTCTCCCTCTGCTCTTCCCCCTGTGCGTGCTCTCTCTCTCTCTAATGAACAAAATCTTTAATAAATAAGTAAAGGAAGGAAGAAAGGAAGGAAGGAAAGAAGGAAGACTGTGCTACTCTATGATACTACAATAATGGGCTAAGCAGCATAGAGGACTGTAATGTCTGAAGGAGCCTGAGAATTAAATTATTACCAGAATCAGATTATCCTCCATCACTTTCCTCTTAATACTGAGGCACTGAGTCAAGGAGAGCTAGGAATTGGCATGCCCCTAGGCCCTAGGACAAAGCATCAGCGTGGAAAGAAAATGAAACTCGTCTATCAGGTTGCCTAGTTCCTGAACAGGGAAAGATCATAAGAGAAATTTTACAACAAGGACACGAGAGACACTTGGCTATCTCAGCTTCAGCGGCTCTCACAGCACCCAAGGCTCTTGTGGTAGATTGCACCCTGTGCTGCCTTGGACTAGAAGGGCTGCCACGGCTTCCTCACTGCCACCTACTCTCTCCCCGCATCCCCTTCCACACACACAGAACCTCCACTTGCACGGCAGCTCCTGTCAGGCTCCAGCACGAGGGGCCACCGGCTGCCTCATCTGTACTCCTCCAGTAGGTACTAAGTCCTCTCAGCTGTAGAAACTGTGACTCAGAGCTGCTTATGGGACATAAGTCACTGAGTATAGAGTACAGCTGCTTAAAGCCAGCCAAGTTGGAAATACAGATTTGGAAGTCATTATCATGCAGCAGAGATTTAAAACCATGGAACTGACCTAGTTTATGGTGAGAAATCATAGAATGCAGAGAGGTGGAGGACAGTGACAGAACCCTGGGAAACCCCAACATAAGGACTAGGGACAGATGGGAAGGGGGTAGGCAGGAACTTATAAAAGAGACAGGTCATGTTAGAGTTGCACAAAGTAGAAACGTATGTCAAAGAAACCAAAAGAAACAAGATGGTCAAGAAGAATGAAGTAGAAAATAGTAACAAATACCAGAGAAAAGACAAGTAAGACTACAACTGAAGTGGGTTCATAAGAGTTGGTCACTTGAGGGGCGCCTGGGTGGCTCAGTTGGTTAAGCATCTGCCTTCAGCTCAGGTCATGATCCCACAGTCCCAGGATTGAGCCCCACATCAGGCTCCCTGTTCAGCGGGGAGTCTGCTTCTCCCTCTGCCCCTCACTCCGCTTGTGCTCTCTCTCTCTCTCTCTCTCAAATAAATAAATAAAATCTTAAGAGATTTCCAGTGGCACTAATTCAACCAATGATTTGGTTTTCCCTAACTGGTTCACAAGTACAGAAGCAAGGAGAGTAGATGAATGGGTGGAAAAAGAATTTAGGATTAGTGATGACATGAGTAAGTCATGGGGATAAAAGGTACAGCATAGGGAATATAATCAATGGTACTGTAATAGCGTTGTACAGTGACAGATGGTAATTACACTGCGGTGAGCAAGCATAACATACAGACTCATTGAATCACTCTGTTGTACACCTGAAATTAATGTAACATTGTGTGTCAACTATACTTCAAATAAAAAAGTTAAGGATTTATACAGAAGATGTAATGAGAGAACAAGGTAAGCTAAAGCTACTTAAGGAAGTTAGGTCTTCCTTCTTCACTATAACAACTCTTTGCATTCTGAGATTATTTTCAATGACGCATCTATAGCTGTGTCTTCACTTAGTACTTTATCATGGAAAGGCTCTAAATTCAAGTCTATCACTGAATAACACAATTTGAGAAAAGTATACGAATAAATCAGATAATGTAGCCACAAAGAAAAGGTGAAGGGAGAGAGGATAACACAACCCACCAGATCCTCATGAAACAATAAACATAAAAGACATACATAAAAAGATAGAAAATTTTCTTTAAAACGTCAAGATTCCAAGATGATCAATTAGACTAAATCCATCAGGACAATGCATTCACCAAATGTAAGCAGCATACCTGTTTTGATTCTGTAGGTTTTTTCTCTGGTGTTCGAATCTTATTAATTTCAGGTCCAGGGTTATTTGTATCACTTTTACCTAAGAAAATATTTAAGAATTCTTATAAACTGTCTCCAATAAATGTTACATTTCCAATGACTAACCATTATTAGACAGAAGCAGAATATTTTAAACATTTTTGACCCATTATATCGATTTATACTACTGCCTGGGATTTGCTTTTTCTAAAGTTTCAGAGTTGCAGTTTCCCTGCAAGAAAGAAAATTTATAATTAAAGCAAACCTCATTGTCAAAACAAAAGCTTAATAAAGGAATGAACTTAAAACATGAAATAACTTCAAAGATAACTGCCCATTCTCCAGGAATTTGTAGCCTCGTTTTCTTAAACTAGATGCACAAAAAAAAGGCATTGGCATTCTTGCCTATTTATAAAGGCTCAATGCTTTGGCCATTCACAAATGCAATTAAGCAAAAATCCAAAAATATGCCAACCCAATTAACAAAGGAATCTAAACTGAATAGATATTCTGAAAGGAATGTAGTTACCACTACTTAAAAGTAATAGCAAACTAAATATAAGTGGATGATAAATAGTAAAGGAAGCAAATTAAGGTTTAAAAAAATTCACAATCAGAATAGAATTAAATAATGCTATTTCACACATGAAAGGATCTTATTTTTCTTTTTTGTAAGATTATATTTATTTACTTGAAAGAGACAGAGAGAGAGAGAGAGCAAGGGGAGGGGCAGAGGGAGAGGATCTCAAGCAGACTCAGCTGAGCACGAGCCCGATGCAGGGCTCAGTCTCACAACCCTGAGATCATGACCTGAGCCGAAATCAAGAGTCTGATGCTTAACCAACAGCCACCCAGGAGCCCCACACACGTGAAGGGATTTTAGTCTATAAGAGTTAACTGTTGGATGTTTTAAATTCCTTGAAAAAAATCCCTGATTTGGGCTATTGTTTAAAAACACTCTTTTATGGGGCACCTGGGTGACTCAGTCAGTTAAGCATCCAACTCTTGATACCAGTTCAGGTCTTGATCTCAGGCTGAGTTCAAGCCCTGCACTGGGCTCCACACTGGGCATGGAGCCTACTTAAATAAATACATACATACATACATACATATATACATCACTTTTTTAGGAAAGCCACTGGAAATTTGTAAAATGAATTTTCATTCCAGAATACGGTTACTACTAAACTTCAAGAAACGAAAACTACAATGTCTGAGATGAAAAATACACTGGATGGAACTAGCAGATTAGACATTATAGAATAAAAACTTAGTGAACTTGAGCAACAGAAACTACAAAAAATGAAATACAAAAAGAAAAAATAGAAAGAGGAAAAAAAAGGAAAGTGCATCCATGAACTGTGGGGAAACTTTAATCAGCCTAGTATTTGGGTAGTTGGAATTCCTGAAGAAGCCAGGAGGAGGTGAGACAAAAAATATCTTTTTTTTTTTTAAAGATTTTTATTTATTTATTTGAGAGAGAGAGAGAATGAGAGACAGAGAGCATGAGAGGGAGGAGGGTCAGAGGGAGAAGCAG